CTAGATTGGAAAAAAAAGAAAATACAAGACACTGATAAGGAGGAAGCGATTACACATCTAAAAGATGCAATTATTTTGAATCCAATGGATTATAAAAAAGACTTGCTATAAATATGTCGAACTACAATAGATGTATAAGATTAATGATCTCGCGAACACTTCTACATCTTTAGGACTATGGGGAAAAAAGTTTGAAAACGGAAAACTTTTAACGCGAAATATGTTTTTGTAATGGAGGTTATACAAATACATCATTTAAACTGCACGTAGATCAGAGAAGAGCTTTCCTATTCCAACAGATGACATCTATCATTTTTTTTTAATACTAAAGAAAAAAAGGAAGTATGTTGACATGGGAAGATTCGAACTAGTCAACAAATAAACAAAAGCGATTATGTGTAGGTTCCACCACAAGATGAGCTAGCACTAGCACTACAGATCTTCCAATACATTGTCAAGTACTGTTAAAAAGCAAAGTGAAACAAAAAATTAATAGTTAAAGAATAGCTCAATATTGAAGAGCTGTTTTTTCTATCGCTGCTCTGAAGTACCTCTCAAAGAACAACCCTAACATATTAAGCTAAGGATCAACAAATATTTGAAACACAATTTCAGGGTATCCAAAGATGGATAAAATGGATCTGTACCATTGAAAGGTAGACTGAAAAGGTTAAGGGTACTAAAATCTAAATTGACATAATAACATTTACCGTGAATCAGATTGCTGTTTTCAGCATACACAAAAACGAAAGATGATAAGTAGACTGCAATATGAGATTCAAATCGTAAGGATCTACCTATCTGCGAAGTATGCCTTTCAATCTGTTACAAGAAAAGGCCAGAGCCGTAATGAAACAATGAGCTTAAGACGGCATTACTCTTCGGTCTTCAATAAGTGGACGTCCAAGCTTAAAATGACCTTGTCATCCAGCTGTATATTGGACAGTGGCCCAGTACACTTAGAAACTGTTCAGACTTATTACCTACTCAAATTAAAGATACATCCATAAAAGCTATAAACACGAAAATGAATTGAAGCAACATAAGGTTATATATCATTGCATAAAGTGTAAAATTTATGTATAAGAAAGTGAAAAAAAGTGTACTTTCACAGAAAAAAATTATTTGCAAAGTTGTACCAATATAAAGTACTGGAATTTCAACACTCACCGCGCGACATCCTCAAATTCTGTTGAAATGATAAAAAAGTCACATGCGATGATATTAACCCTAAAACATGAAAAGTTGGTGATACAATGTAACATAAGCAAACGCAAATAATTTGGCTGGACTAAAGGTTGTACAGTCAGTGACACGTACGCAAGTTACGGCCAATCAAATCTAATATAAGAGTCGAGATTGATGTAAAGTATACTAAGAAAAAGGTGAAAGAAGGAAGAACTTGCAAACGATGCTATAAATATTGGGCTGAGAAAGGCCGGAAAATGCAGGCAATATCTGCTGCGGTACGATAGTGATGCTAATGGCGTAAACGACACACGAGTTCACGGTAAAATGAACTCGTTGATAATGCAAAGTAAAACACAGGAAGTAAAGAAATGCTAGATCAGATCCAGATTGTCCGCGTACTTAAACGATATTCATCCGTTCTACTGGGAATGAGGGGTTATGACGGGAGAGCAGAGGTGTATCAGAAAACATAAGTTAACTCCCCACACCCCTTCTGAACTCAACAGAATTCAAGTAGTAAATCTAGAAGACTTATTCGTAATGTAGACTCCGAGGCACACCGGTACTTTTTCGAATTGGGCGACGCGGGCGGTTGCGATGCGTTCTAGTAAACACTATGCTGGAGAGGGACCGCCCAAGGAGCGGCTGACACCTGCTATGCCGTCGTTCGGATCGCGTCGTGAAACGTCTGCAGACACTTTTGGCCGTCAAAGGACATGCGCTCCTGTACGCAGACTTGATTTAAAGTGTTCAGCCCTAGTGCTGAGGTAAAATCACGTAAATTCTAATTATTTTCTTTGGGTGGTTTCGGCCATCTGCACGCAATGGACCTCTGCCTCAACTTGCGCTTGTAATCTTTTTCCTGTGGATTTCACCCCTCTATGTACTCTTATGCATATGACGCCGCATCCATGGCGTTGTTCTGTGTCAGACGAACAGAGTACCCACTATCGGTTAGAGAACGAGAGTTGGATGCGGGTGTCACGAGACCACCCGGACGATCCACAACCATCCAAATGTCCCCATCTTCATGTGGGCCTCTAAAAGTGCAACGACGTTTGCGTGACTTTTGCACTGTTGAGAATGAATCATTTACAGTCTTTTTCTAAAGAGAGTGTATTTTTTTTCTTACCTAGTCTCATAAAGGCTTCAAATGTAATAGCTTTGTTTTCCCACACATGTTCCAACAATCATAGTGTTTTTATGAGTTTACCAGTGTTATTTCAAGCTTAGTCAGTGAAGTTGGTCATAATGGTTTTTCTGCATAATCGTAGCAGAACAATGTCTTTAGAGGCTGCTGTGGAGAATTATCCAAGAAGATGCAGATGTTGTTTTGCAACATGTTGAGTTTATTCGCATTTACTCCGGACCCGAAATATACGGTCCAGACCGGCCCATCATTGATCAGTACAATTTTTGAGTAGTCCGGTAAACGACCTTCACATGGATAGACCACGTTTGTTTTTCACCACTGCGAATCCAAAATCATTTTTTTTTGGCACATAACCTAACTTCCATGGTTCTGTTTAGTACTATAGTAGCCATCTCTCCAGGATTCTGATATAAATATTATGCAGTAATATGAATACCAATGAAGGTCCACTGGGTGCTCATAACAAAACGTTTTTGAGTAAGAGCTCATGCAAAAAAGTTTTCATTACAACCTAAGAGATCAGTCAATTTTTTTGTCACTACAGGATATTGCTTCGAGTGTAAAACTTTTATAAACA